TCTCTCTCTCTCTCTCGTTTTCTCTTCTTTTCTTTTCTTTTTTTTGCGTTAAAGGAACTAAAGCGTTTGTATGTGTGTCACGGAGGGTGTAACATGTGACCAGGCAGGCACCGTGGCTGTATGGTCACATCATATATCAGCTTACAGAAGTAACAGAAGTAAGTGTAATTTGCATTAGCTGTTAGCCTACGGGCTTATCAGGCCAGATAGTTCATCACAAGGGAGTGTGTGTGTGTAAGAGAGAGAGAGAGAGACACTGAATGGTAGTTGTGTGAGTGTCCTTGCCTGGTGCAGGGGTTTAAAAAATCTGGCTGCATGGTGTTGATTCGCCCCAGACACACTCTCTCTTTCTCCTCTCCCTCTGTTTCTCTCTCTCTCTCTCTCTGTCCATGTAATTGTGCCTGCCAGGCTCAATTAAGGGGACTGGAAGGCAACGTTCCCCCACTTCAAAGCCATCTCCTCTGGCAGTATTTAGCCACACCATCCGTCTACACACACACAAACACACACATATGCACGCACACTAACACACAAGAGGATGGGAAAGCTAGCCAAAAAGCCTCCTTGGAGGGTTAGAGCGGGATGGGGAAGAGAGAAAACGGAGCCAGAGATGGATGTTGGGATGAGGTGGAATGAAGTGAGTGATGGATTAGTTGAAGATATAAAAGTGAGGATGGGAGACAGATATAGAGGTGTGGAGGACAGAGGAAGAGGGAAGATGACACATCAGCAGCACACACACAAACCCAAATGTGAGCACGAGTACACATATTGTGGCCGCCGCCAGTGCACAGTACCACCAAATTCACAAATTGTGTTTTAAATCTGCAATATCTGATTTGTTTGGCTGCGAAAAGAGGTTATGAACACAATACTGACACTTTTATTACCTTTTAGGTTGATGGCACATTTGATAGCAAGTGTCAGGTACCTCTCTACACTGTGTTCACTGTCTGATCACAGACTGTGACTGTATTAGCCTGCAGGTTGGCAGATAGTGTACAGTAGGTTTATCAGTTGTTTTTTGCCTAAAGCAGCCAAAACGAAGCTGATGAGACTGATTGATGAAGATCAAAACAACAACCTGAACGATGCTTTAATGGTCCACTGAGCCGAGGGGAACGGCAGAGTTGGAGGATAATTCCCTCTGGGTTCATGTAGTCATGTGATGCATCATTGAATATTGATTAGAGTCGCTTTAAAATCTATTAATCAGATGAGGAAAAACTACACAGAAAAACCCTTTACCTGGAAAACACGAAGGTAGAAACAGAATGACCATAATTAAAGTAAAAACATGTATATAGAATATGAATCAGAGAGGAATAGTGAGAAACTTCCAGCTGCTGCTTAATACAGAGAGGAACCTGGACCGGAAAGAGGACACACTACAAATACACACGAGGATTATTATTGATTTATATTCTTATTTTTGATTATTTAGTCTTCATGCTTAAATCATGTTGCGTACATAAGCCACATTTGCAGTCTTGCTGTCTTCTCAGAATTTCTCTCTTGCTCTCTCTCTCTGTTTATTCCTGTGTGTGGAAAATTGTGATTTAGGAAAGTTTGATTTGCAACAACCCACCTCCACACACACACACACTTCCACATCCCTAAAAGTGTGTGATTTCTCAGCACTGTAGAGTTGCAATGATTCATCCCTGGAGTATCAGTTTTTTCATTTCTTATCTCTCTGTGCTGTAGGGACAATCCTGCCACTTCTGCTGTTAAATTAAAAATGGAAGTAGAGCTCTGGCTCTCATAAATTAAATGCTGGTTTGGGAGCCATGATGGCCGATGATTCACAGGGTAGCTATACTCCGGTGCTTATCTTTGATGGACACACACACACACACCTCTTCAGCTCTGATTGGAAGAATAAGACATAACAGCTCTGGGCTTCAACACTTCCACCAGTGAATAGCGAATGTTGAAGCCATCCTGGCCCAAAACCCTGCTTCATTTCCCGTTGTTGGTGTAGATACAAGGAAACTGGTCGCCATTAGGGAGCTGAGTAAATTACTGCATATCCTATGGCTCAGCTCCCACAGCTATTTAATTGGCAGCTTCTCTTTTAAGTGGGCTAAATTTATCTGGCCATTTACTCCTAGTAATTGGACAATTAAAGGGCTTTTGTCTGCTTCTGGCGACATACAGTAACCCTGTTGAAAAGTGAAGAAGAGAGCGAATACGTGCGAGGGAATGGCACAAAGAAAAATATGGCACATGGAAGACACAGAGCAGCTGGTGTAGCTCTCTCCACACATCTGTCTCTTTGTCTTGAACAAAAGAGAATCAGCATCAACACATGCACTCAAAGCCTCTGTCTCCTTCTCTTTGTGTCTGTGTGTGTGTGTG